ACAAATTGTGATGCTTCCTTTGCTCATTTAGTTGTTCTGAATACTAAGATTGACAACTCTTGCTCTAGCTAAGGGCTTATTTACAAATTACTTACACATTCACAGAAAAGATTACACATTTATGGAAAAGAGTTAAAACAGAATACAAAGACACATAAAGTGCTGGATTACCTGAGAAAATAGAAGCAAGGGAAGATGGGAAAACAGAATGTGGACTTAAAATGGTGCCTAGAATGATGCCAAAAATAGATACATTTTTTAAAGATAAGCCATAATTTTAGTTCTGAATGTTCTAGCCATCAAAGCAACAGAGAAGCATAGTCAATTACACAATTAACTACAACCGCTATGCCCTGGAAAAAAAGGAAAGATTGTTTAGGAATAGGACTCTATTTGGAACTTAACGCAAAAGAAAATCTCCCAAAGATAGTCCTAACATGACTTGTGATGACTAAAACAACACACCGACAGATGCTACAGAGTTGATTAATACTTTGCCATGTTTTAATCTAGACAGGGTTCTCTAGAAGGTATCTTGTTTTGAAAATAATATATTTTTCCCTTTGACTATTGGAATTTTCCTTCTTTTTCTTTGCTTTTCCTCTTTTTTCGTCTTCCTCTCTTTTTTCCTCCTCTGTCCTTTTGTTCTTCTTCCACTGCGTGATTGGCTATGAATCCTCCCCCAAAGTATTAAGGATACTTAAAAAATCTATTTAGTCTGTAGATTTTTTTTACTTGCTCTATTTGGGGGGTTTGATATAGATACTGTGCCTTCATTGAAAAAAAGAAAATTGAATGTTTTCTTTCTCTTTGATACCCTGTTTAATTAACATTTGGGATATCCACTTCTTGAAGATTTGGTTGACTAGACCTTGAAATCATCTAGGTCTCCCACAGATGGAGGGGGAGGAGGGGTGATTGTGGTGGTGGTGATACAGGTCTTTGACAACATCTGTGTTTCTTCCACATATTTGTCTGTTTAAGTTTCTTTCTTTTATGATCAGTTTTGGTAATTTATATTGTCCTAAGGAATCATTCAGTTTTCAAATTTAATTGCTTATATAGCTTTCAATTTGCTTTTTATTTGTATCCTTATTTTAATGTCTTATTTCTTATATATTTGTCCTTTTTCTCTTTTTTTCCTTGTTTAGGCTAGCTATTGATTTCTCTGTGTTATTGTTTTAAATAATAAGCTGTTTTATAACTCATTAATTTCTAACTCTATATATTCTGCATAGATTTAATGTGTTTTCTTTCTCTAATTTTTTGAGATTGATAATTCATTTATTTTAATTATTTTCATTTATCAAAATAAGTTTTTATTGTTAGGCATTTAACTCAGAACCACTTCCATCTTGTACTCTAGGTGCAAGGGGTATGAGGTGTTTTCGTTAGCTTTATGTTTTAAAGATACTGCAAGTGTTATTTTGATTTTTCTGAGTTAAAGTTCTTTTGAGAGAGGGAAATGTTACAATTTGTAGCTGTAAGGTCTTTGTTTTTCTTTTTTTTCTGAGTTTATTTATTGTTTTCTTATTTCTTATTGTGCTGTGTTCAGTTAATGTTTGTACTTTGTAGGTTTCATAATGGGACTGTTTTTTTTGTGGCCCAGTATATGCTAATTTTTTACAAATAGTCCATAGACACTTATAAGTTTAATTTCTGTTTTCAGCATATGGAATTTCATCACTTCAATCAGGTTTCTCTTATTAATTAAGTTACTTTGATCTTCTTTATGCTTATTGTTGTTAAAAAGAAACAGGTCCAAAGTGGAGTCATTTATGTTAAGCCCCACAAAAGACTTAATACCTAACGTAATTGCTGTTTTAGCCTTTCCTGGCAATGCAGTTTTAAACCAATCAGTCTGGAAATTCCTGACCAGCACTAGTGAGGTAATCTGCCTGCTCTATCCCCTAAGGAAAGGTGACCTTCCCTGAAAAATTTTTTTCTTTTCTTTTGCTAATAGCTTCCTTGCTCCAATCTCCTTCCTATAAAAACTTTGTTTTGTACAGCTCCTCAGAGTTATCTCTCTGCTTGTTAGATGGGATGCTACCTGATTCATGAATTGCTTAATAAAGCCAATTACATCTTCAAGTTTACTTGGTTCAATTTTGTTTTTTAACATTATTTTTTTCCTATTTATTATATCCTTATAGGTGAACTAAAAGCTCCTACAACCAATGTGTTTTTAGTATTTCTATTTATATCTTATAATTTTTTAAATTTATTATCTTGAAGTTATATTTTTGGTGTAGGTAATTTTTGGTGATATTTGGTATTTGTATTTTTGGTGATATTCATGATGTTATATTTTGGTTGAGGTTTGTTATATTTACCATTACAAATATTGTGTGTTGAATTGTGTCCCCCCCCAAAAAAAGATATGTTGAAGTCCTAACCCTCAGTACTGCCAAAAGTGACCTTGTTTGGAAATAGGGTCTTTGCAGATATATTTAAGATCATGAGGATGGGCTCTAATTCAGTATGACTGATGTCCTTGGGAAAGGAAAATTTGGATATATACACAAGCAGAGGAGACATTATGTGAATGCCATGTGAAAATGAAGGCAAAGATCTGGATGCATGTATGAGCCAAGGCACACCAAAGATTACTAACCAACCAGCAGAAGCTAGGAGAGAGACATGGAACCAGTTTATTCTCACAGCCCTCAGAAGGAACCAACCCTTGACTTCTAGCCACCAGAACCACAAGACAAAAAATTTCTGTTGTTTTCTGTTGATGTGTGGTACTTTGTTACAGGGATCCTAGGAAATTAATACAGGTTACTTGGCTTAATTTATTGTTTTTTGCCCTGAATTCAAACTTATCTGATATTAAGATATGCTCCCAATTTCTGTTGTCACTTGCCTGATATACTTTTGACAGTTCCTTTATTTTCAAACTTTAGTGCCTCTTGAAGTTTTAAAACATAATTAGACCATATCAACTCCATGCTCAAAAAACCCTCAATGACTTCCCTTTGCATTAGAGTAAAATTATTCCATTTGAAAAACCTACTTCCTTAGTATGAAGTGCAAAGCCTTGCATGGTTCTCCTGTCTCTTCTCAGACCTCATTCTGCTCTGCCCTCCGTGACCTCTAGCACAGGAGTCTTGTTGTGGTACTTGCAGTAAGCTGAGCTCTTTACCTCCACAAGTCTGTTCTCTCCGTCAGTAACCTTGTTTCCTCTTCAGTGGCTTTATACTTCTGATTCTTCATGTCTTAGCTCAAATCTTACCTTTTCAGAGATTTCTTCTCTGATCACTGTATCTGATGTGATCTAACTCCATTTCCTCCGAAACTCTCAAACACATCACTCATAATTCCCTGGTAGCATTGATCACCGTATGAATTTATTTTATTTATATTCATATTTGTCATCCCTACCCCCACTAGAATCTAAGTCTTATGAGACTTAAGACTCTTATCTGCATTTTCACCATGTCTAGAATGTCGGCTTTGCATGTAGTTGGCAAAGAGTAAGTATCTGTTGAAAGAAGTAAGGGAATTACAAAGAAAGGAAGGATGGATGGATGGAAAGGAAATCTACAAGCCATTTTGTTCTCTTCTCAGCCCTTCATAACATACTTGCTCGGAACCTCTACTGAGGAGTGCCTTTCAATGTTAGAGTGTTTATTCTAATCTAAACTCTACTCTGTGCTTCCTGTTGTTCCAACTACTTAATCATCAGCTGTAACAGATTGAAAAAACAGTTTTTCCATTATTAAAGAAGTAATTTTTATTGGTATGTAATCAGTGGTCTTTCCTTCTTCACCCACTCCCCATATGCGATGCTCATATGGTGGATGGTGTAAGTTATCTTCTCCCTCAGCCCAGAGACCTTTAATATGTTATTCTCAATATTATCTTCATACAGTCACACATGATTTGAACATTTGAAGAGATCCTAGCCAAGAAATCCCTGATCTAATCAGAAAGAATCACTAAATTCTTCTCTAACAGGTCATACTGACAGGCATTTCAGAAAAAGGACCAAAACTAGAAGAAAGAAAAAAGGAGAGGCACATTCCCAGATGATTCAACATTCCCTGTAGATTTTAGCAAGAACAATTATATATGTATATATTTCCAAATACGTTTTGAAAAGTAATTTTATCTTAATTAAACAACATTAACCAGAACAGAGCAATGTTTTCACCAATTACAAAAAAAGCATAGGATAATCTCTAGCTCACATACATCTACTTCCACCGTATCACCATCTGATGGCAGCATACCTTCAAAATATAGATTCTACTCTTTAATGTTTCAGATCAATTCATTCCTTTATAGGGCATCTGCTATTTCCAGACAATGTGATATAAATATTTCCATGGCCTAGTCTGTTCTCTTAAGGAGCTCACAGTACACTGGAAGAGACAGGCATATATACAGATAATTTTAATAACAGTGTGCAATGAATATTATAGAAGCTTAGAGATGGACTTTTAGCCTAATATGAAGATAAGGTAAGATTTTCCCCTATGAGATTATACCTGAATTGACTTGTAATATGTGCAAATTACCTAGATTAAAATAGGTAGTAAAACGATGAATATCATCATACAGAGGCAAAAGAGACTAATTTGTATATAATGAAGAGAAGAGGCTATTGGAATCAAAGCAGGAGAAAATAGTTGTACATTTCAGGCCCATGATCCACTAAACATCACATTTTTGGGGCACATCTATATGCCAGGCATCCATCTACATACAAAGAAAACAAAATGAACACAATCTTTGTCCTAATAAAGCTTTTCTTCTAGCACATACACTAATGATCAATTGAAACTATAATGCCAAGTAATTATATTCAAATTAAAAACAAGCAGAATAACGGATAGGGTAGACACAGGGAGATGGCCGTGGGGAGGCAGTGATATTTTAGAAAAGGCCACCAGGGAACACCAGATGTTTACCTAGGTGATAAAATTATATATACGGACTATAATCACACTCATGGCTAAAGTATGTTAGCAAGCTAACAATGAAAATGCACTTACCAACACTTGACCCACAAAGGTCTGTGCTGAAAGCAGCATTTCTATACGATTACGAAATACTCCTTGGAAGTGGAGACTTTTTAAATGTTTACTACCGATGCTCTTTGTCAAGAGTAGTTCCTATAAGGAAGAGAAAAGAAGTGAGAGTGAGCTGGATTCCAGAGAAAGTAATCTGTTTTATGTATGTTGGTAGAGCCTCTTGCTGTGTTATCAGCCAGAAATTACTATACCTTGTCCAGCCCAGAGAACCCCAAAGTCGCTTATTCAGCATATCATGAAATGAATTTTACTGGGTTTGCATTTTACTGGTCTTTTGCACAGCTTTTTAATTAGGAATTCTGCAGTCTTCACCATGCCTTCTTCACATGCTCTACAGTCCTAGACCCTTCAGACTGACATTATTGTAGTGATGAGGATTGGGAATTAGCATGCTTCTTCCTGCTCTGGGAACATCTCTTATCCTTTTCTATCAAGATACATGGACGAAGGAAAAAGATTACAAATTGGTTTTTAGTGGTTACTTAAGTATCTCCTCTTTTTTGGGAAAGAAGGAAAGTTTCAGCAATTTTGTGTTGCTTTTAGTTCCTTATCTGGTGACATATCCTGCTGATATAATCCCTCCTCATATTTATAAAGTGCCTTTACTTATTATATTTAAAATTTATAGTAATCCTATGAGGTAGACAAAATAAGTGTGATTAAAACTGCTATCTACTGATAAGGAAACTGGGGTATAGAGAAATTACATAACTGGCCCATAAGCAGGGGGTAAGAGGCTGGAGTCTGAACTAGCCCCCATATCTATTGATAAGCTACCACCAAGAAAGACACAAGTGAGCTAGGATTGACCACACCATGCTGACTGAGACCCTCCGACTTTTAGAAAAACTCATTATATATGGAGCCAGGGTTTTGAAATGACTTAATTTTTCTACTCATAATCTCTGAATGGTAGAAAGAAAAGTCTCATTAAATAACTATTTGATAATAGAACTCATATCTTGATCAGTGATTTGCCCTCTAATATCTATGACTCATCATGTGCATTCCTGAGATGTTGTCTGAGCCTTGATTTAAAAAAAAGATGTTCAGTATAACATTAATGTGGAACACTCGTTTGAATTTCATTATGAAATTAGAGGAGCCTTCTGTGGGAAAACAAATTGACCCTAAGATAAGATATAATAAAATCATACTTATGAATGTAGTAAACATTTTAAAAATGCATTTAAGGAGAAAACTATGACTTCAAATAATTTTTAAAACATCTTTGACAGTTGTGGCATTTTTTGCATTAGGCCAACTTTCCCAAAGGCTTAGAGAAAAAATACAGCACTCTCGATTTAATTAAATATAACAAGTTACTGAGAAGTCACTCAGCTTGTATCAAATTCTCTCAAGGTTCAAAACCAGAAAAGTGGAGTATTCTGGAGGCTTGGACCCTACTTCTTAACATTTCATAATAGTTGCTTCCTATTAGAAATTAAAAGACACCTCTGGACAGAAGGATGAATTACATCCAAAAAAAGGGAAAAATACTGCAAATGTTTATGGACAAATAGATTCTCACATTTTTGTAACCACACAAAAATAAATACAATGGGGGGAAAAGATACATTTTCTGGAGCAGAAATCTAAGGAGATTAAACAATTCTAGCAATTCAGTTGTGCATTGGGGAAAAAAAAAAAAAGTAGAAGGCAGATTCTCCATACCCATTACTCATTTGTGTACTCTATCAGTCTTGTTAAGGAGTAAGTGCTCCTCAGAATTCTTTCCACAGTTTTTATGCCACTGCTTAAAGTCTTTACAAAAATTAAGAATAGAGGGGACTCATTTAGCAACAAAATCTATGAACTGTACTGGGTACATGTTGAATGCAGAAACCTGAATTCCATTTTATGATTATTGCCAATGACCTTAAAAAGTTACCAAGTTATTACAAATTCTGTTATTTTATGTCAATGTTTACCATTAAGAGAAATGTTTTAAGCAACTTTTCAATATTGACTACAATGCACAAGTGAAATGTGTTCTGTTATGGAAATTGCTATATCAGTAAAACAAAGTTTGGGAAACAAAAATTGGCAACAAATCACACAGAGCATAATAAAGCTCTGCCTTCGACCACCGATATTAGAACAGCCATTATACAGCATTTGAGAGTTTTATTTCAAGCTCTTAAGCAAAGTCTTATCTAAGGTACCATTATTCTCGTCATCATCATTTGCTAGCTGTTATCCCACAACCTCCACCCTTGCAAAGCTTGTTTGGTTGTGAATAGTGTCTCTGCATTTGTGGTTGGATGGCATGTGAATGTATGCATGGGTTTCTGTATGAATGAATGTACAACTAGGTGTGTTGTGTTAATGGTATATAAAAGACAATGTACATGTGTTAAGTACATATGCATCCTGCATGCGTGATTTATGAAAGTAAGGTTGACTTGATGGTTGTCTTCGCCTGCCTCATAGTACCAAACACAACTATCATTTTAAAATTCAAAATAGAGGCATAGATGTAATGTTTGTGGACATTTTTTGTTTTTTTTTTTCATAATAGTGACTCTCTGTTTCCAGAGCTATCATTCATCATCAGCCACACCAGACATTCTTTCTCTGAGTGGTGGGAGAGGAGGCCCAGCTCTGTACCTGCTGCCTTTGGAATGGTGTCCCGGGGTCCTGTTTTCTACCCCAGGGGAGGATCATCCCCTTTCTAAGGCACTGGATTAGAGCTGGCTCTGTTAGCTCATGAAAACTGAGTGAAGCTTAAATTGTTTTCTAAACCCAGTCACTTGCCAAACCTGTCTCAATCTTCATATAGTAGGATCCAAAATAAGGAAACTGACCAAGAGAATTCCTGTGCCCTTGATGTTTTGCCATTTTTTAATGGTTCTCCAGATTAGTCTGCAAATGAGTAAGATGAGGAGTCCAAGGAAGAAGGTCACAAAGGAAGAGAGAATAAACGCTGCTTGGATCTCACTTGAGCAGGCCATTTTCCCAGATCTTCCCCACTATTACTCTGCGGCTTTGTTCAGAAGATCAGGAGACGGAACTGCTGGGCTTCTGTGATGTCATGATCACATGGTAATGATTCCAGAAATTAGAGTTTAGTGTATTAATGAGTCCTAAGGCCAGGTGTAATAGTAATAAGTGATTCCAGGAACAAGGGTCAGCTAACCACTGCAATGCTGACTCATAGGATGCAAATGAATGAACAGGAGAAGACCAGGTCCACAATGTGGTCTTCAGAAGACAAGAATTCTAGATCTAATTCTTTTACTGACTTTCTCTCTGACTTAGAGGAAATTACAGCCTTCAAGGTTATGGTCAATGGGCTATTTGGTTTGTTGCAAACACCTTCAGAGCAATTTTTTTTTCTTTTTTTTTTAATTTTTTTTATTTTTGGTGGAATGGCATCCAGCCATCTGTGTGTCAGTGAATTGATTCTTTACCTGAGCAGATGCCACATGCTCAGTAATCATGGAAGGACAGATGAGAGGAGTACTTCAAGATGTTTGCTTAGCTCATCAATAAGAAAGACATGATAGTGCAGGTATTATAGAAAGCACTTTTACTGGTGCGAACTTTGGTCAGTTGTTAAATATTTGAGCCCAGGAATCTGTTCCCCTTATCTCTTCTTTATGGGACCGTCCCCTTTCTTGCTTTTATCCCTGCCCTGTCAGCAAACACTTTGGTCCAGCAGAGGTAAAGTTCAGAATGAGAGCAATTTCTTTTATTTTCTCTGATGTTTTCAAAGGCGTAAGAAATGTCATGCCTTTCAGTGCAACCCACTTGGCAGGCAAAATGTCAGAGCCTGATGGGGGGGCCTAGTCCCCCCAGTTATTGTGAAGATGGCCTGACACAAGGTGATGAGACCCAGGAGAAATGTTGTTGTCCTTTGGAGCCCTCCATGATTCTGCTCTATGTGGCAGACTATTTCTAGAAGAGAATTACAACATTTCTTAGAACTGCTGCCACAGTTATATTTCCTTCTAAGCTGAGCTATCATTTCCACAAAATCTAGTCATTAAGCTAGCATAGGGCAATATTAGGAAGGACTCTGGTCTAGAGTTAGGAGCCCTGAATTCCGGCCCATGTTTCATTTAAGTTGCTGTGTGATGTCTAATAAGTCACTTTACTTTTCACAGTCATTTATTTTATGTTGAAAATAACATAACATACTTGGTGGAATTACTGTGGGGATTCAATAAGGTAGTGTGATCGTATTTTGAAAAGCATAAAACTCAAAACAAGGAAAGATAACCATTAGCTATTTCAGTTCCTTTTCTGAATGGCACTAATAAAGCAAAGAGGAAGGGAGGGAGGGAGGGAGGGAGGAAGGGAGGGAGGAAGGAAGGAAGGAAGGAAGGAAGAAACGAAGGAATGAAGGGAGGAAGGAAGAAATAATGTGTTTAGATCACATGCACACATGAGCATAAGCCCCTATAGCTAGAATAAGATCACAGTTTCCAAGTTAAAGCTCATTTACTTAGTCTGATAAATCTTAAGTAATGGTTAAGCTATCATCATCAATGCAACTTTCTTATTTTCCTAACTTTTGCTACTTAATATTGTCAAAGTAGTACCAATTCTTTCCAAGATACTATCTAGGCATCTCTTTCCCCCTTTCCCAGCAATTGTCCTATGAGAACAAAAAGATTCAGTTTTAATTAAACAGCCAGGTAGCTTGTCCCTCTAATATATTATGGTGATGGTAATACTAGTTTCTATGGCTGAGTCAAGGAATGTGTGGATTTCTTTCAAAGTCTGTCTTTCCAAATTTGTCTTGAACCTCTGGTGTCTGGGTCATCTGGTTTCCCTGGAACTGTCCCAGCTTCTGTACTGAAAGTCCAACATCCTGAGAAGACCCTTGGTCCTGGGCAGATTGGGGTAGGTGGTCCTCCTGCCCCCCACACTTCCACTTCCTCATCTATACAGTGCTGCAGCCGCACCGCCCCATCCTAGCTACGAGGGCACGCAAAGTCTTTTCTTTCTCCAGGCCTTTCTGACACACTGTTCCCTCTGCCTAGAACACACAGTTGTGTCTAGCAGCTGCTTTCTTCATGTCTCTTCTTAAATGTCCCATCACATTCTCCTGACCATCCTTTAGAAAGGAGGGCTGGTCACAGGCCCCAGGATTCTGTGATGGCCCTTTCCTTCATCGCACTTCATGGCATTTCTTGAAATTACCTTATTTCCTGTTGTCTGGTTTATTTTCTATCTTCCCTCACAAAATGTAAGCTCCACAAGCTTAGGGATCATACCTGTTTTATTCCTTACTGAGTAGCCCGTGTCAAGTAATATACCTGCCACATGCTTGGCAAGTCACCTGAACTTAATAAATATCTGGAGATTGAATGAATAAATCCTAGCTCCTTAGAAATATATGTTAGGTGAATGAAATACTGACTCTACATGGACTTTAACCCAAGTTATCCACACTTCTCTCTTCCATATTTCCCACCTCTCACTACAAACTATTTTCATGAAGAAAGTGTGCCATCTGCAGTTGTTTATGCATGGGGCATGGTATGTGGTGTGTGTATGTGTGCTCAGAATGTGTGTATACAATGTGTGCGGTTTGTGGTGTGTGTGTGCATGTCGTGTGTGCATGTGATGGTGGTAGTGTGTGTGTGGGTGCATGGTGACGTGTGTGTGCTTTTGCGAGAAGTGTGTGTGTGTTGAGTGGTGCGGGGTGTGTGTGTGTGTGTGTGTAGGGGAAAGGGCATATGATTTGGATCAAGTGCCATTCAAAGTGTTACTATTTTTGCTAACAGGTTCAAATTTGATAACTTCTCTCAGAGTTCCTGAGTTATTGTATCATGGTACAAGTGTGTGATGAAGGAAAAGCTGCCATTTGTAGCTTGGTAGCAATTCAGTATTCAGAACTAGAGAGACAATTTGTTTTGTTTTTTTTTAATTTTTTTTATTTTAATTTTTATTCTATTTTTAAAAATCAAACCTCTTGAAAAGTTGACAAATTATTAAAGTTAAAAAATAAAATTTGGCATTTATCCATAATAGTGAAAAATCATTTTCAAGGTAGTTTGAAAGTCACTAAGAAGTACTGAGACGGGTCATCCTAAAGGAGAGAAAAATAATGATACAGTTTATTCCCTTGTAGAGACATAATTTGAAACAACATTACCTTTTACAATAACCAAGAAAGGACTCCTCTTGTAGTAGATAATTTAAAGAAAAGAAAAAATTCACTCTTCTGTTGGCTACCTATGATCAGCCAGAATCTTGTGTGTGTGTGTGTGTGTGTGTGTGTGTGTGTGTGTGTTGAGCAAGTACTATGTGCCAGGCACAATGGAAGCACAATGGTCAAAAATTCACTCTTCTGTTGGCTACCTATGATCAGCCAGAATCTTGTGTGTGTGTGTGTGTGTGTGTGTGTTGAGCAAGTACTATGTGCCAGGCACAATGGAAGCACAATGGTCAACAAAAGAAACCTAGTTCATTCCCTCACAGAGGATACAGTTAACTGAGGAAGATGTTTATATTAGAAACTAGGAAAAGTGAGGGAAAAAAACAGGTGGTGGAAGGAGGGACCTGATTGAGATGAGGAGGCCAGAAGCTGCCTCGAGCCCGTCGTGTGTGAAACTGAGGGCTGAAGCATGACATGCTACCTCAGTCAGATCCTCCAGTGGGTGTGGAGAGGCCAGGAACAAGCACTGTGCCCACCGTTAGGCAGAGGCACCATCTTGGGCAAGGTTGGGAAGGATGGCGCTTCTGAAGAGAGAGGTTGTATGCACAGTAATGACCCAAGAGAAGGCTGGCTGCATATGAAGCGGACCAGATCACGCAAGGCCTTGTATTCAGATTGGAATTAAAAAGTACACACAGACCAACAAAAATTCATCCCAAGAACGAGAGGAAACATTTGAAGGCTTTCAGAGAAGGACGTTAAGTGACTGAATCCCAGTTGTAAAGGGATTACCTTGACATATAGAGAAGACATCGCAGCAAGTGAGGTGTGTTGGCTGGTGATAAGCGGGCAGGTGGGAGTGACGTCCAGCAGGTAACATCTGCTCCCCTGCCTGAGGGACATGAGGGAATGGACTGGTCAAAGCTACCCTGCTTTTCCAGCTGATACTTCTGGGGGGGTTCTTGGAACCATTCACTGCTATGCCTTTAAAACTCCACCTAAGAGAGACGCCTGGGTGGCTCAGTCAGTTAAGTGTCTGCCTTCGGCTCAAGTCATGATCCCAGGATCCTGGGATCGAGCCCCGCATTGGGCTCCTTGCTCAGCAGGAAGCCTGCTTCTCCCTCTGCCACTTCCCCTGCTGTGCTCTCTCTCGCTCTCTGTGTCAAATAAATAAATAAAATCTTAAAAAAAAAAACTTCATCTAAGAAATGAAGACTATGTGATGAAGAACTTCTTTTTTCCTCACTCAGATGAATTTTTTTAACATGTCAGTGATTTGATTAGAAAATAGCTTCACTTTGTACACATCTCTGTAATTTACCTCCAGGCACTCAAATATTCTGGAAAAATTGTACTTTATAATGAGAATGAATAAATATTTTATCTTAAAAATTTAGTTTTCAACAAATGTGTCCTATTTGACAAAGGTAAGTAAAAACTTCATTATTTAAGTGTCCACACCAGCACTTATGAGTGTGTGTGTGTGTGTGCATATGTGTGTGTTTGTATAATGCTTCTGAAAATAATAACCATATTGCAATGTTATCTTTTAAGGATCTAAATCCATCCATCACACTGAATGGTATAACCCTACCCTCTTCTGTTTCTGTAAGAAGAGGTTCATTTCATACCCCAATGAACATCCTCACCATTTGTCAGACACTGGTCAAGAAATACTAGGCCTCAGTTCATGCAGCTAGTCAATGTCAGAACCAAGTCTAAAGTCAGGGATGAAGATGGTTCCACCTCCACAGAACACTCACATGCTAGTGAAAGTACATCAGCTTTCTGGGGTGAACATCTTTTTGTTGATTTCATGTATCTGTGGCTTAGGGAATGTTACTTACAGATCGTAGCCTCAGTCTCTCAAGGCCTTTGGACAAAGCTATTTCATCAGTTCTTTAC